CCCCCCCCCCCCTTGTCACATCCGGGCTGGGGCTGGTCCAGGAGGTAGTGCCTGGGGCATAATTCCAGAAGCCCTGGTTCCAGACGCTGGGAGTTTGCATGCAGGGGTGGGGAGTGCAGGCGTGTCCAAAATAACCTCCCGGTGTGTGAACTGCATAGGAGGTTCATACCCGGATGCCCATCAACAATGGAATGGATACATTCATGGTTTATTTTCCTTCAGTGGAACCATCCGCAACAGATGGTGACAAACGACAGCCCATGGGACAAATCTGGCCCACTGTCTATTTCTGTGCAGCCCAGGAGTTAAGCATGGTTTTACGTTTTTGGGTTTTTTGCATTTTTTTTTTTTAATTATTATTTTTTCAGGGCGAGAGAGACAGAGCGTGAGCGTAGGAGCAAAGAGAGAGAGAGAGAGAGAGACGCAGAATTCGAAGCAGGTTCCAGGCTCTGAGCTGTCAGCACAGAGCCCGACTGGGCGCTCGAACTCACGAACCGTGAGATTATAACCTGAGCTGAAGTCGGACGCTTAACTGATCGGGCCACCCAGGCGCCCCAGAACCTCATTCCTTTTTATGGCTAATATTCCTCTGTATGGACAGGCCACCTTGTGTTTATCCATTCTTCTGTTAGTTGTCGTGTGCATTGTTTCCACCTACTGAGTGTCGGGAATGATGCCTCTGTAATCATTGGTGTATAAACGTCTCTGAATGCCTGCTTTCAGGTTTCTTGGGTATGTACCCCGGAGTGGGATTGCTGGATCATATGGCAATTCTATGTTTAACTCTTTGGGGAGCTGCCAAAGAGTTTTTACATTTTTAAATCGTTGGGGGAAAAAAATGTAATCCTTAGTGACATATGAAACGTATATGAAATTCAAATCCCAGTGCCCATAAATAAAGCATTCTTGGAATGTGGCCATGGCCACTATTTTATAGGTTATCTGAGGCTGCTTTTCCTGGGTCAGTGGCAGAGTTGAGAGGTTGTGACAGAGACTGACTATATGGCCTACAGAGGTGAACCTGGCTATATCGGGCCCTTTACAGGAAAAAAAAGAAAAGAAAAAAATTGCCCACCCCGGTCGATAGAAATGAGTATGAATGAGAGATCACACTGTATCGTTTGCAGCTATATGCAACAGTCTGGAAGATTCTCACCATTATAATTGGGAGCAAAAGAATCTAGGCCAGGGGCGCCTGGGTGGCTCAGCTGGTTAAGCATTCGACTTCGGCTCAGGTCGTGATCTCACAGCCCATGGGTTCGAGCCTTGCTCTGTGCTGACAGCTCAGAGCCTGGAGCCTGTTTCAGATTCTGTGTCTCCCTCTGTCTCTGCCCCTCCCCCGCTCATGTTCTGTCTCTCAAAAATAAACATTAAAAAAAAAGTAAAAAGTAAAAACAATCCAGACCCAAAAAAAGAATATACCACCCAAATTCATATACTAAAAAGGACCAAAAATGGGTGCCTGGGTGGCTTAGTTGGTTGAGTGTCCAACTCTTGGTTTTGGCTCAGGTCAAAATTTCACGGTTCGTGGGTGTAAGCCCCGCGTGGGGCTCTGTGCTAACAGCACGGAGCCTGCTTGGGATTCTCTGTCTCCCTCTCTCTTTGTCCCTCCCCTGTTCACACGATCTCTCTGAAAAATAAATTTGAGGGGTGCCTGGGTGGCTCAGCCAGTTGAGCGAACGACTTCGGCTCAGGTCATGATCTCATTGTTCATGAGTTCGAGCCCCGCGCCGGGCTCTGTGCTGACAGCTCGGAGCCTGGAGCCTGCTTCAGATCCTGTGCCTCCCTCTGTCTCTGCCCCTCCCCCACTCATGTTCTGTCTCTGTCTCAGAAATAAATAAGCATTAAAAAAATTAAAAAAATAAATTTGAAAAATATACATTAAAAAAAACAAAAGGACCAAAAAAAGAAGAAAGGGAAAAAAAAGCACAACGAATCTATGCTGTTGGAGGATGGAAGTTTTCTGGGGAGTCTGATGAGAAAAGGGCAGATGGAGGGTTTCTGGGAACGGAGTGAAAAATTTGAGCTTACGCTCAGATCCGCACCCGTGTCTTTATGTCGTATTTTGGTGAAAGTGATAGGTGTGTGTGAAATCCCTGTGTAAAAACAGCCGTGTACACAAGCCATAGTATAGGCAATGCTTATTGAGCACCTACTATGTGCCAGATGTGACGCTATGCACGTGCGTGTGGCGGGGAGCAAGGGGACACCCCTCCCCCCCCACCCCGCCATGCACTTTGCCCTGTCGGAAGAAGACAGACACCAAGAAAGTGCTCAGTCAGCCTCAACCCCCACCAGTCACTTGTACCCTGAAGGACAGGAACCCGGTTCTGGGAGAACTTCTGACATTAGCATGTCCCACCCAAGGGACGCCTGGGTGGCTCAGCTGGTTGAGCATCTGACTCTTGATTTCGGCTCAGGTCACGATGCCACGGTTCACGGGTTCGAGCCCCGCATCGGACTCGGCGCTGACAATGCAGGACTCGCTCTCTCTCCCTCCCTCTGCCCCTCCTCTCCCCCTTTCAAAATAAATAAACTTAAAAAAAAAAAAAAAGAAGAAGAACATGGCCCCCAGTGGAAGAATCCAGGGAGGGTTTGTGGAGGAAGAGATGGCTAAGAAGAAATCAGAGGATGAGACAAGTTAAGCAAAAGAACCAGTGAGGGAAGGCTCTCCTGGGGAAGGACAGGGTGCACCAGCTTTGAGGAACTGAAAGAAAACTAGGGGGGCAGGAAGACAGAGAGCTTGGCTGGGATGAGCAATGTCACAGGCTCCCTTCCTTGAAGGGACAGACACAGCTTGGGCACAAGGGTGACTCAGGAGGCAGCAAAAGTCATCGTTTGAGAGTTCTGGTTCTTCAAACCCTTCGGTCTCAGAACTTTTCAGGTAAAAGCTTTTGAGGGGCACAGAAGTAGGCAGCTCTGACTTCAGGTTGGGTGAAAAGCAGGGGGAATATGAGGAACCCCTAGGATTCCTCGGGATCTTAATTTGAAAACCCTTAGTTAAGTAACAGGAAAGGGCCACAGGCCTTTTCATTGTCTTTAAAGAAAAATAAAATATTTTCGGGACGCTTGGCTGGCTCAGTGGGAAGAGCATTCGACTTTTGATCTCTGGGCTGTGAGTTCCAGCCCCAGGTGGGGTGTAGAGATTACTAAAAAAAAGGCAAAGTTAAAAAAGAAAAGAAAAAAAAAGGGGCACCTGGGTGACTCGGTGGACTGAGCATCTGACTCTTGGTTTAGGCTCAGGTCGTGATCTCAAGGTTCACGGGATGAGTCCCTCACCAGACTCTATGCTAATAGCACGGAGCCTGCTTGGGATTCACTCTCTCCCTCTGCCCCTCCCCCACTTGTGCGCATTCTCTCTCTCTCTCTCTCTCCCTCTCTCTCCCTCTCAAAATAAATAAATATTAAAAAAGAAAGAAAGAAAGAAAATAGAAGTGCCTGGGTGACTCAGTCGGTTAAGTGTCTGACTTCAGCTCAGGTCATGATCTCTGGGTCTGTGAGTTTGAGCCCCACGTCAGGCTCGCGTCGGGCTCTGGGCTGACAGCTCAGAGCCTGGAGCCTGCTTCAGATTCTGTGTCTCCCTCTCTCTCTGCCCCCCTCCCCCGCCCACACACAAACACA